ACATCAAATTGGTGAAGAGGTTGTAAGTATATACCACGAAAAAAAGGATGAACTAAATCTTTGAATATTGCTCCATTTTTTGGGTATTTTTCGTCTAATAAATCTTTTCCTTAACTGGATTAATAATTTTGCGTGGTATAATTGAGTTTGTTAAGTTATATTAGGAGTCTATCAGGTTAATTGATTCTCTTTCTGTTTTTAAACAACTGGAGAGACCTATTTTTACATTGTATTCATGAATACATCTCGCGAATACATATGAATACAGCGGATGATAGCTGGCATGCCCTGTTTTTTCGTCGAGTTTTGCTACTGTATTCGTGAATACAGTAGCTTGAATACTAGATATCATTTTTTAAACTATATTTAAATAATATAAAAAATATTAATTAACTATAAATTGGTAACTAAAATAAAAAAATTGATATCTTGAATATTCTTAAATGAATAATTTATAAATTAAAATAATTAATAAAAGTTTCAATTATGAATTTAAAAGTTTTACCAACTCATATGAGTAAAATATGAATTGATAATTTTTGGTCATTTTAAATAATAAAATGATAAATATAAGTTTAAAAGGTATTTTTTAATAATTATTTTATAGTAATGAATAAAAAATAAAACTAGTAAAATACGAAATTATGTTTAAAAATTAGATACAAAAGAAGAAGCAAAATATGAGAAGTCATAAAATTATGTGGACGCACACCATAAGCAAACATGATGGAAAGCTAAGAAAATAAAAATAAGATATTAAAAAAGAAATAAAAAGAATAATACTTAATATATTTGAAAAAGTAAAAACAAAAAGATTAAAAAAGATATTACCTTGTAATTGTAATGTAATTATCACAAATTCTTATATTCCCCTCGAGAATTGAAGAGTATAATTACACCCTCTTAATTACACTTATTTTCGTGCTGACCAAATAATTACTTAATTTGATAAATATGCCAAACTCTGTAACTATATCTAATTATACCCAAATCTAATTCTTAGATAGCTTTCCAAACAGGCTCTAATAGAAATGTTGAAAAATAATATACTCTCAATGCACAAATTAAACTCACATAAAAAAACTACGACAATAATGCAGGCAAAATATGAAGGACCGGAGGATATAACTTGTGGCTTAATTAGCTAGCAATCATGGCTAATAGTTCACCTCGCCGTAAAATAGTACTCTCTCTGATCTAATTTATACGATATTTTCGTTTTTTGATTTAAATTTCTTAGTTTTGATCGTGTATTTGAATATAAAATATTTATTTTTTTTAAATTATAATTTATATTGAAAATTACGTAAGAAATATTGTAAGTCACAATATTTATAAAAAAATTACGATAAAAGAATAATTATTTGAGTCTCAAAATTCACATAAATTGAGACTGCTTGGTGAATACTTGTGGTGATCAAAGTGAGGCAATTCCCAATCTAGACAAACGCTTCGGGCCTTACACGTGTCTCCAAATATCGCATTTGCAAGTTGGCAAAGCATAAATTGTGGTACATGAAATAGGAACTTGGATCTACCTTAGCATCTTCATTCCCGATTCCTAGCATCAAATTTAGATGCTTACTCTTTCTCTCTCTCTCATCCACTCCCATAAATTCCTCACACTCCTCTCTCTAAAACTAGCAAACTAGTCACCATTAGCGATCCACTTATATTCTTTTTGGCTCTTTAATTCGTAAAATCATGAGTGCTTTGGAATCTCCGCTAGAAGCTTTAGCGTTCAACTACTTGAGTTTCGGACTTTTTACGGTTGTCAACAATATATGGACGTGGTTGGCGGTGATAACGGCGGCTTTCAGCTACTGGAGGATCAAAACATCCTCAGCATTGCTGAAACCGGCACTAGTACGTGGAGATTTTTCCGACGATGCATCTCCTTCGCCGCCGCAGACAGCGTTTGTACCACCGTCAGAAAATGTTGAGACGGTGGCAGCTGATGAGCCTGCTTCAACTTCTAGGGGACCCTCAATAACAGCTCCTACTACTATATCACCGTGCGCTGTGTTTCATAGAGTAGACAGCACAAAAGGGAGATTCACGGCGTACTATAAGAAGGATGATGTTCTTGGACCATGTGATGACGATGTGGACCGCCGCGATAGCACGGATAAAGAAGATAAAGGCGAATTCAGAATTTCAAGTCAGTGGTTACAAAGTTCCATATTTTCGAACAATGGTGCTGTAGAAATGGAGGATTTAATGTGTAATGATTGGTATCAGAGTTGGGAAAAAGTAACTAGAACAAAAAAAGGGGAAATGGGGTGGTATAGTTTCCAAGATTTGCATGTTATTGACGGTAACGTAGTTAGACTGTGGGAAGGTTGTAGACGGCGGAGAGAAGCGGAAGCCACCGCTTTTCAGGGTGGCGTAGTTAGGACGTGGTAGGTGAGAAATGAGAATGGTGGTAGTAAGTTAATTAATGTTAATAGTAGGGACTACAATAATTTATTGGGTTTCACGATGATGGCCGATATTACGTACAAAAGAATTGTAAATACTCTCTGCACGCGAGTCTCTTGTAATTTTGATAATTTTGTAATTAGTATTTGCTTCTACTTTCTTTACCTTATTTAGATTTATTTATTTTTGATTAAACCTTGATTGTTGGTTGCCTTCTTTACAGAATCACGTACACAAATAAAGTACTAAAAGATATTCCGCCATAATTATTTGCGACTTAAAAAAGACACTTTAATTATCAGAAATCAAATAAATATGGTTTTAAGGACCATTAAAAAACTAATCTTTTGAAAACACCAAATTGTGAACTATGTTCATGATATTTGGTTGGTAGATATAGCTTTATTAAATCCAATTGTTGTTCCACTTTCATTTATTAAGAACAGGTGTTATATTCCTTCATTACCGCTTGAAACTTATTACCGCATGGAAGGTGAGAATTAAAAGTACTTTTATGACGAGCACGGCTACTGTTTTTTCTCGTCTGCACACCGATACTTCTCATTTAATGGAAAAATATTGTTGCTTGTCTTGTCTAAAATTCATAGATTTAGAGAAAGAAAATGAAAAAAAGAAGGAACATTATTTTCTTTACCCGATGTCCGATATTTGTATTGGAGCTCCTGCTAATCCGATTTCATGTTGCGTAAGCCGCATTAGAGGAAAAATGCTTTCTGCCAGAATTTTTTCGTACTCAAGACTCAGAACTCGAAATTTAAACTGAATTAACCCAACTTCAATTCATAGAAATCGCATTTATTCATGGGAAAATGTTCTTAAAGGCGAAAGTCTTTATTTTGTCGTCGATTTTCTTCAAAAAACATATTTTGGCAGATTGCCCATGTGTATTTCAAACAAACGCAAACGTCAAAGTATATTCCCTTAATTAAACTGTTATATTCATGTAAAACTTTCGATCTAAGGGCAGAGCTACGGCTTATAGGGATTCATTTGAATTCCTTTTGCCAGAAACTTACACTAGATGTGTTTGGTCAAAATAGTTTTCATGTATATACAATAGATATTGAATTCTTAATTTTTTTCTTATCTTTACTTCTTTATATTCTAAAAATGAAACCTGTAACAACTCAATCGGCCATTTTAAGTTCTAGAACCCCTTTTTCTATTTTGGATTTTTTGTGGGTTCACTTGTTGCTTTATGACTTGCAAGTATGGATAGCACGGATCCCAAGAGAATCCGGGGCGTTTTGGAACACTTGGTTGCTAGCTAGAGGCTTTAAATTAAGAGAGTTGACCAAAGTCAATATTTTCAGTAAATAAACATAGAATTATGATTTCAAGGTTGTATAGGTTTGTATGATGATGTTGGATCTGGACGTATGTTTAGTTCACCATCCGAGGGACTCAAGTGTAATTTAGAAGTATCTTGTGAAAGTTGAAACCTGAATAATTTAAGAGAGTTCATAAGCTAGTTTGGATCTTGATTCTTAGTTATGATATTTTTGTAAGTATTTTGGTCCCTTGGATAAGTTCATAAAGTGTATATGCACTAGTCAGGATGGTTTAAAGGGGTTCCAAGAGGTTCGTGTGAATTTCGAAATGGTTTCAGAGTATCTTGGAGCAAATAAAGCTATAGATTTTCTGATGCACAATAGTGCATCACGATCACGAAGCTGAGGCTCACGATCCCGGAGAAGAAATTGGGCAGGGGGAGATTTGTTCATCACGGTCGCGATAGGGCTCTTCACGATCGCGAGGGGTAGCTTTCATCTGTGCATCACGATCGTGGTGCCTATGGCAGCGATAACGACGAGTTTATTTGGCCCCGGGGTATTTTATCTCCTGAATTTCGAGAATTATTTATTTTTACTAGTTTTGAGTTTTAGAGAGCGAAAAAGGTGCTTGTGTGATGACCCAATAGGTCATCTAGAGATTTAGAACCTAATTCTGCATTTCGAAGCCTCCAATAGCTTCTTTAAGCCTTTCTCAATTTGCGTGCGCAGTCCGGATATTTTTCCGGAAGGATTTTATGTTAAAAACTGATAAAATATAAAATTTTGCCTCAAAAATTCATTTGAGTTGACTTCGGTCAATGTTTTGAGCAAACGGACCCGGATTTATATTTTAACGGTCCTGGTGGGTCCGTATCGTGATTTGGGACCTGGGCGTATGTCCGGAATCAAATTTGGAGGTCCCTAGCTCGAGTTATTGATTTTTGTCGAAAATTAAAAGATTAAAGGTTTAATGATTTAAAGAATTGACCGATGTTTGACTTTGTTGATACCGGATCCGTATTTTATTTCCGGAGCTTGGTATATGTCCATTGCTGTATTTATGACTTGTCTCTCAAAATTTGGTGAGAAACGGAGTTGGTTTGACGAGATTCGGACGTCCGGTTTTTAAAATAGAAGTTTTCATGTTTTCTTGAAAATTTCATTTGATTAAGTGTTCGATTAGTAGTTCTAGGCGTTATTTTGGTGTTTTTATCAAGCGAGCGAGTTCGTTTGAGGTTTTTGAATTGTGTGCATAATTGGTTTGGAGCCCCGAGGGCTCGGGTGAATTTCGGATAGGCTACGGGTAGTTTGAACTTAGAAAAAAATCTGGTTTTTGTGCTTCAGTTGTCATCTAGTGCGTTGTGCTTCGATATCGCGAAGGGGATATAGGATGGGGGAGGATTTTATACTACGCGAACGCGAGACCATGGTCACCAACGCGTAGCATTGGGTGGCCTGCTCTACGCGAACGCGTCCAGTGACACGCGAATGCATAGCGTTAGCATGTCTGGCTGGGGACTTGAGGTTACACTACGTGAACGCGAGTCCTATCTCGCAAACGCGGAGGTTAGGAGGGCTAAACCTTCGCGAATGCGTGTAACCTCTCGCGATCGCATAAGCCATTAAGGCTCTGCTCTTAGCGAACGTGTCAGGTTTCACGCGAACGCGATGAATACCTAACGCCAGTGATTAAAACAGTCCCAAAACGGGATATTACCCATTCTTTCAAAATTTCAAAACTAGAGAACCCTAGAGGCGATTTTCCCAAGAGTTTTTCTTCGCCAATTTATTGTTAAGTGATTCTAACCTACCTTATTTCAATTACCCAATATATTTTATAAGATTTCCACCTAAAATCTAGGATTTTCATGGTAGAAAATTGAGGGCTTGGGTAGAATTAGGAAATTTTTGTAAAATTGGAATTTAGACCTCAAATTGAGGTTGGATTTCGAAGCGAATTACATAACCGGGCTCGGGGGGTGAATGGGTAATCGTGTTTGGTTAGAATTTTGAATTTTGACCAAGCGGGTCCGAGGTCGATTTTTGACTTTTCGGGGAAAAGTTTGGATATTCTAAATTTATTCATTGTAATTGATTGCTCTAGCAATATTTGATATTATTGAGTCAATTGTGGTTATATACGAGTGGTTTGAAGGCGGATTCTGGGGGAAAGGCCCCGGTAGAGCTCTGAATTAGTTGCAGAGTGAGGTAAGTGTTGAGTTTAACCTTGACTTGAGGGAATTAGGGACCCTCGGATTATGTGCTATGTGAATTCATGTGGTGCGGCGTATATGTGAGGTGAAGAGTGCTTATACGAGGCCGAATTACTTGTTTTCCCCTGATTTTCCGCTTTCCTTAAATATCTCCTTCCTTGTCTTAACTGTTATATGTTGTAAATGCCTTTCATGCTTATTTGCTACATGTTAATCAATGTTCTCTTCTGCTAATGATATTAGATCTTTTCATAATTTCATGATTCCCTGCTATTTGCTTTAATTGACTTACTCGTACCTTCTAATTGTTATTTACTGGACCCGTCTTGTTGTGTAGTATTACTTATGCGAATTCCCATGTTGTACAAGGTTTCCTTTCTGGTTCAGCGTTGTATTCATTGATCGTAGAGGTTCTTGTGATTTGAATTATTGATATGACTGTACTCATTGAGTATTTAGTACTGATACGGTGGGATCGGATTGCATGCCGCAACACGTGGAATAAAGGTGGATTGATACGGTAAAATAAGGGTAAATTATGATACTGATATTGTTATATGGTGGGATCGGGTTGCGCGCCGCAACATATATATATATATATATATATATATATATTATAATATAAGTGATTGAATACGGTAAAATAAGGAAATAAATTATGATACTGATATTGTTATATAGTGGGATCGGGTGCGCCGCAACATATATATATATATATATATATATATATATATATATATATATGTATATATATATATATATATATATATATGTATATATATATATGTTGTTGATGTTGTTACGGTAAAATAAGAGAGGATTCTGTGTTGTACGGTGGGATCGGATTGCGCGCCGCAACAACCTATGTGTTTCTATTTCCTTGAGTTGTGTTGGTTTTCGGTATTTTCATTTGAAACTCTAAGGATTGGAAATTCTGAATGTCACTGGCTTATTTCTTGAGGCTGTAACTATTATCTTCAGTTGACTATCTTATCTCGTTCCGTATTTCCTTTTCTGTCTTTATTATATACTGCGTACAGGTTGCAGTGTGAGTGACGTACCTTAGCCTAGTCACTACTTTGTCGAGGTTAGGCTCGGCACTTACAGAGTACATGGAGTCGGTTGTACTCATACTACACTCTGCATTTCTTGTGCAGATTTTGGAGTCGGTCCCAGTGGCGGTTATTAGCGTGCTCGAATTGGACAACTTGTGGAGACTTGAGGTACAGCTGCTCAGCGTCCGCAGCTCCTGGAGTCCCCTTCCTTTTTATTTGGCTGTGTACTTTCTTTTCAGACAGCTTTATGTTTATTTCAGACCCTTGTTTGTACTATTCTAGTAGCTTGTGCACTCGTGACATCGGGTCCAGGATTGATCAGACGTTTGGTTGTTTTAGCTTCCGCATTTTTACTTTGGATTATTGCAGTTATTTCAGTTCTTTCTTATTAATGAATTTAAAATGTTAAAAATGAATAAAATATTCTAACGTTGGCTTGCCTAGCAACTGAAATGTTAGGCGTCATCACGGTCCTGACAGTGGGAATTCCGGACCGTGACAAAGGGATCGGGTTTCACGCCGCAACAGGTGGAATAAGGGTGAATTGATATGGTGAAATAAGGGTGAATTATGATACTGATATTGTTATATGGTAGGATCG